TTGTTCACAAAGTAATAAGTTTAACTTTAGATAATGTAAGTGCTAACAATAGAGCTATAAATTTTTTTTAAACTAATTTTTCTTGATAATTTGAAGTTTTTTCACCAATGTTGTGCATGTCAGATTATTAATTTTATTGTGAAAAGTGGTATGAAAAAAATTAGAAATAATATTGATAGAATTAGGGATTCTTTAGCTTTGATTACTAATAGTAATAGAAGAAATGTTGAATTTCAAGATGCTTGTATAAAATTAAATATGTCTCCTAGAACTTTTGCATTAGACATGCTTGTTAGATGGAATAGTATTTATTTAATGTTTGATTCATATTTACCTTATACAAATTTAATTAGTTATTTTTGTAGCAAATAATAGGAGTCATCATTATTTGGTAGACAGTGATTGGCATATAGCTCAAAAATTTCATTCTTTTCTTAAAAATTTTTATCAATACACTTTAAAACTTTTTGATGTGTATTATCCTATCAGTTCATTGGTAATACATACAATTATAAAAATTTCAGATTTATTTAAAAAAAAAAAAAATAGAAACAATCAAATTTTAGCAGGACCAATAGAGGCAATGGAATTAAAATTTAAAAAATATTGGAAACTCATTCCTTTTCTTTTTTATTTAGTTGCCATATTTGATCGTAGAATTAAATTAGCGTGTTTAGAAAATTGTTTAGACACGTTAAGTGAAAATTTATGAGACAAAGCATATGCCAATCAATTAGGAGAGATAAGACAATATCTTGCAAAGGTATATTTGCAATATGAAAGCAGGTATGGGAACCAATAAAGAGGCGAAATACCTAAGGAAGTAGCATAAGAAGAAACAAATGAAGACTTCAACTCCTGGAGTGCACTTAATAGGCCAAAGCGGACCCGAATCCGAAGCATAGCCTCCTCTTTAGAAGCATCAACAACGAATATATTGTCCTCCATGCAGCTATAGAGTAATGAGCATCACCAATATTTGGGAACCCCCGACGTGCTAACAGCAAATCTACTTTGTTGTCTTAGAATATTGGAAAATCAGAAAATATATTTTTCCAGTATTATCAAGACTTGTCCTGGATGTTTTCTCTGTTCTTGTCTCAACCGTCTCATCCAAACAAACATTTAGTGCAAGTGGAAGAATTTTAAATGACAGGAGGACTAAACTTTCACCAAAATTGATTGAAGTCTTCACATGTCTTCGAGATTGGGAACGGTCGTGCCATCAGGATCAATATGAGGTTGTCAACGATACTTTAATAGAATCATTTCAGTTTTATAATTTAGATGATACAGATGAGGGAGGTCCTAGTCAACCCTCAAATTAGTTGTTTTGTGAATTGTAACTTTATAATTTGTAAATTAACTGTGAGTTATTGCACTCTTTTTTCCTTACCAAGTTTTTGTTCCAATTGTGTTTTTTCTTGGTAAGGTTTTTAACAAGGCAATAATTATTGTAATTTCTTATTTCTTATTTTATTTTTTGATAAATGAATAAATCTAATTTTTCTTATATTACAATTTAATTGTATTAAAATTGAATTAATATTTGAAATGTTAACAAAAAAAATTAATTTAATTGAATTATTGATATTTGAAAAGTTAGCTAAAAAAAAAATTACACAAAAGAAAAAAAAAATTCCGGACCGGCCTGGCCCGGCCTGCACAAAAACCCATCGGATTAGGGTTGGTGGATCGGGCTAGGCCAACCCTTCTGGACAAAGAGGCGGGCTGGGTTGTTGGTGGGCCGGATTAGGCCCCGACCCTCAATTTTGCTTAACTCGCAACAGGCCGGGCAGGTTATTTTTTCACCTTTAATAAAATCTATGACTTATTACAACATTGTCATCTGCTTCCAAGTAGAACTACAGAGGTAGGGGTGAGCACGGGTAGCAGATAGAACCGAAACCGGGGGTAAGAACTGAAACCGGAACCGGAACCGAAACTTACCCAGAACCTGCACTGTGCGGGTAGGTTCCGGTTCCAATTTTTTGGAACCGCTACTGTGCGGTTCCGGTTCCGGTTCTTGTATGTGGAGGAATCGGAACCGAAACCGAAACCTGTAAAAAGGGTACCCTGCTTGGAACCTGTAGGAGGTACCCGGTTTGGAACCTGTTTTGAAACCTATTTGGAACCTACTTTGGAACCTGTTTTGGAACCTGTTTGAAACCTGTTTTGGAACCTGTTTTTGGAATCTGTTTAGAACCTATTTTGGAACCTGGACTATAATGAAATATTTGTGAAATGTAAATAATGGGGGAGTTTCAATTATTTTACATATAAAAAAATTTAAAATAGAAAAAGTTAAATTTTTAGAATAACCTAATTAAATAAATATACGAATACAATTATACTTATTACATATAAATTACACCATATTAAAAGCTTTAATATATTATAATACATTAATATTAAAGTTTTGATCAATTAAGTGAATAATTGGAATTATGATCCAATTAAAAGTGTTTTACATTTTTAATGTTATTAAAAGAATTATTTTTGAATAAAATAGTATATTTGATTGAGTAATAATATATTTAGTTATTTACTTCAATTATCAAGTTCTAAGTATATCTATAATAAATTAGTAATTAATTAATTATATATGATAAATTGATAAACATTAATAAATTTAATTACTAGTTAAATATCATACTTAATCAATTATAACATTACATTATAGTTAAATGATTACTTAATTAATTATAATTTTATAACATTACTTAATTGATTTATAGTATAATTAATTATAGCATTACATTAATTGATTACTACTTAATTAATTGACTTATAAGTTATAACATAATTAAATAGTTAATTAATTGACTTATAATTAGAAATTTAATTAATTATAGCATTACGTTATAGATTTATAGTATAATTACTTAATCAATTATAACATTTTATTATAAACATTAGTACAAACTTAATTAAATGATTAAAAATTTAATTAATTATAATATTACATTAAAAATTTATAGTATGATTACTTAATAGTTAATTCACTATAACATTACATTATAGTATGATTATATAATTAATTATAACATTACATAATTAAATAATTACTTAATTGATTATGTCATTATATTATAAATATTAGTAATTAATAATTTACTACATAAACATTAGCATAATACTTAATTAAATGATAAGAAATTTAATTAATTATAACATTACCTTATAAACATTTCATTATAAACATTAATTAAGCATTACATTATAGTTAAATAATTACTCAATTAAATTATAATATTATTATATTACATTATATATTATGATCACTTACTTAATTATAGCATTACATAGTTAAATGATTACATAATTACATAATTAGTTATGAATTTATAACATTACATTATAAACATTAGTAATTTACTAATTTACTATATTATTACATTACTTAATTAAACGATTAAAAATTTAATTAATTATAACATTACCTTATATATTTATAATATGATTACTTAATCAATTATAACATTCCATTATAAACATTAGTATATTAATTAAATGATTTGAAATTTAATTAATTATAATATTAAATTATAGATTTATAGTATGATTACTTAATTCATTATAACATTACATTATACTATTATAGTATGATCATATAATTAATATAACATTACATAATTAAATGATTACTTAATTGATTATGAGTTATGATATTATGTTTTAAACATTAGTAATTACTAATTTACTACATAAACATTAGCACAATACTTAATTAAATGATAAGAAATTTAATTAATTATAACATTACCTTATAAACATTTCATTATAAACATTAATTAAGCATTACATTATAGTTAAATAATTACTCAATTAAATTATAATATTATTATATTACATTATATATTATGATCACTTACTTAATTATAGCATTACATAGTTAAATGATTACATAATTACATAATTAGTTATGAATTTATAACATTACATTATAAACATTAGTAATTTACTAATTTACTATATTATTACATTACTTAATTAAACGATTAAAAATTTAATTAATTATAACATTACCTTATATATTTATAATATGATTACTTAATCAATTATAACATTCCATTATAAACATTAGTATATTAATCAAATGATTTGAAATTTAATTAATTATAATATTAAATTATAGATTTATAGTATGATTACTTAATTCATTATAACATTACATTATACTATTATAGTATGATCATATAATTAATATAACATTACATAATTAAATTATTATTTAATTGATTATGACATTATATTATAAATATTAGTAATTTACTAATTTACACAATACTTAATCAAATTATTATAATTTTATTAATTATAACATTATATTATAAATTTATGGTATGATTATTTAATTAATTATAATATTACAATTTACATTGTAGTATGATCATTTATTTAATTATAACATTACTAGTTTCTGCATAAATTTATGGTTTGACTCATTCATAGTGGGAATTGGGTTCATTAGGAGTGCATTTGATAACTGCTTTTATTTTGCCTGTACAAATAACATGTCAATGTATTTACTATTGTACGTAGATGACATGTTGTTAATAAGCAAGTCTAAATCTCACATAAATGAACTAAAAGCAAAATTGAGTGTTGAGGTTGATATGAAAGATCTAGGGTCTGCAAAAAGGATCTTAGGGATGATGATTGACAGAAATAGAAAGGCAAATAGATTGAAACTTCATCAATTGCCATATTTGCAGAAACTGATATTTAGGTTTGGAATGACTGATGCTAAAACTGTTAACTTACCCTTAGCAGGACATTTTACATTGAGCAAAATGCAGTCCCCCAAAACCGATGCAGATAAGATTAAAAGGGAAAATATACCCTATTCTAGTGCCATAGGATCTATCATGTATTAAGTGATAAGCACCAGGCCTGATCTTTCCTTTGCAATATCATTATTAAGTAGGTTTATGTCTAATCCAGGAATAGAACACTGGGTTGCTTTGAAATGGTTACTCAGATAAATTAACACTACAATGCATGTTGGATTAGATTTTTGCAAAAGAACCTCTACACTTGATCTTGTTGGGTATGTGGACTCTGATTTTGCAGGAGCTCAAGATTCAAGGAAGTCCACCACAGCCTACTACTTTACCTTAGGTGGAAACTGCATCAGCTGGAAATCCCAACTTCAACCATTGGTAGCACTGTCCACAACAGAAGCTGAGTATGTGGCAGTGACTGATGCATTCAAGGAGGCAATATGGCTACAGGGGATCTTGAAAGAGGCAAACTTGATGGATGGACTTGTGATTGTGTATTCTAACAGTCAAAGTGCCATTCATCTAAGTAAGAACCCGATATCATGAAAGGACAAAACATGTGGATGTCAAGTACCACTTTGTCCGAGATCAAATCTCAAAAGGAAAACCGAGTCTACTAAAAATTCCAACCGAAGAAAACCCATCTGATATGGGAACAAAAGTTGTAACTACTGCAAAGTTCAAGCACTGCTTGAACCTTTTTCACATCAACTGACTCCCAAAGTTGAGAAGGAGTATGTGAATTGCTTGCTGCACCTGTATGTTGCTGTCTGTGGAAGGGATAAGGCTTCAAGGTGGAGATTGTTATACTTGAAGCCTTATACGCTATCGTATTGGCTTAAGTTTACTCTACATCTTGACCGTTGGTTTGTGAGAAATCTGATGGCTGAAAATAGAAGACTGGTCAAACCTTTAAAAGATGAAGTCTCTTCCATTCGCGGAACACTCTCTCACTCTCTCAATTGAAATCTTCCCCAAAATTATTTGGTTAGGGTTCAAGAATAGGGCTTTGTGTGTGTATGTGTAAATCTACAGATAATCTGTCCATTAGAGTTGCATTTCTTTGTGGAGTTAAGAATCTGGTGTTGAGTTCTCTGTTTGGGTTGTAAATTTACCAGTATTAGTCTGAAGCCTAGGTAGTTCTTGATAGGGAATCTTGTAAGGGAATCATGGTTGAGTGTTTGTAATCGTTCTTGATAATAATAGTAAGTGCAGCGAGCATCCATATTCAGGAGCTCAACGTGGATGTAGCTTGTTCAATCTTGAACAAGTGAACCGCGGTAAATACTGTGTGTTGATATGATTTTATTCTACTTTGATTGATTGATTGTGTTGATGTTTGCTTAGCATTAGTTAGGGGAATTTACAATAGACGGGTATCCATGATTTTGGTTTTAAAATTTTTTTAATTTAAACTATGGACGGGCGTCCATTCTAGGTGAACACTCATCTAGGTGGACACTGATCCATTGAGTAGGGACACCCATCCATAATATATGGACGAGTGTCCATAATTTTTGTTTTCAAATTTTTTTAATTTACACTATGGACGGGTGTCCATTCTAGGTGGACGTCCGTCCATAGTAAATGGACTCCCATCCATATGATATACACAGGAGTCAATTGTTATTTTCTCATAGAAGGGAGTCCATTTAAAATGAAGGACTGTCCAATAATCACGGACGTTCGTCCATATTTGATGGACGATCATTCATTCGCAAAATATTTATTAATATGCTATGTGACTACGTCTACTCAGCTAACACATCATTCGATGCAAAATTTCAGTATAACTCTTCGATGTTCATAGCATTATTGATTGTGTTGATAATTGATACCATAATAAATCCTCATTTCTACTATTCAATAGCATATTTAATTTTGGTATCAAGTAGGGACAACCATGAATTAATTTTAGAGGGGATAAATTCAAAATAATATAATATAATATAGGAAAAAAAGTAAATAAGCGGGATCAAATCCAGGAACATTAATACAAATGCAGATTGTTCCAAAAAAAAATAAAACCAAATTAATGAAAAAAAAAAAAATTAGTAGGGTCACCAGCCCCCATTCGTTATAGAATAGGTCCGTCCATGTATGGGAGTCATGGGATAAAAGTTACGGATATATTTTATTATGCTTTTAACACAATATTATCACATATAAATAAATCAATAATCGTTATAGTGATGACAAAATTAAATATGCATTATAATATTGTTTACTAATGATGTGTAATATTTACGACTTTTTCTTTAGTGTGTAGCAGGATTCTCTGACGGTCAAAACTTTTATCTGAAAAAAGATTTCGATAAATAAAATCCATTAAAATTTTGTAGTTTAAGAGATGGTGCATTTTCTTGGGGACAGAAGTGGAGCATGTTCAAAGTCAATCGGCACGAAATAGAAACGCTTTGAGTGAAATTGAAGTAATGGAGAGCCCTTCGAGATTCCTCAATTTCTTGCGAAGAAAGAGTTAATGCATGGTCTCGCACTCTCGCCTTTACATGTTACAAGAGATGGCAATGTGCTGGGCCAGGATTAGGTACCCCTTGGCCCAGGCTCAAGTGCGAACCCATGACAAAGTCGGGCCTGTCACGGGGATGACAGGTAAAGCTCAAGCCCAATCTAACGAGCTTTTTGTAATCTCAGTCCCGGCCCAAGTCCGCCCTTTTTTATAATGTGAATTTTTAAATATTAATAAATTTCAATTTTTTTATATTTTTAATTCTAGAAACAGTTTTTAAATATTAATTTATTTTTTAATACTCACAAAATATTAATAAATTTCAATCTTTTTTATATATATGTAGGATAATTATGTAATTAGGTATATAGTATAAGGGTAATTTAGTAAAATTAATAATAAAATGTCAGGTCAGGCCTGAAGACATACCCATGCCCAGCCCGTACCCTAGGACGGGCCTTAAAATCAGTCTCAGGCCCAAGCCCAAGCCCACTAACATCAGGTAAAGCCCAACCTTTTTGGGACAGGACATGCCGGGCCAGGTACTTGGAAATACCAGGCCCATTGCCATCTCCATGTAACATGGGTGGCAGTGTTACTTTCCCAAGATTGAGGGGTGGGAAATTTTTATACTGAACCTCAGGGGTGGAATGTAATAAGCTCATAAAATAACTGATTACATATTCTTTAGGATGTCTTTGGTTCATATAATGTTTTATTATGGGCAATGTTGTATTAATAGAAAGATAGATTACATTGAAGATTACTGAGAATATTTAAGTAAATATGTTTGGTTAGTTTGGAATAAATTGGTGGGTATGTTATATTGATATGTTTGATTGGGAGGTAAATGGGTGGGTATGTTATATAGATTACTAAATTGCCCTCCTTTTAAAATATTAATATATTATTGTTTTTTGAATTATTTCTTTTAAACCCCTACATTTGAAATTTTGCTAAAACACTCCAACCATATAAAACTTTAAGTTGTAGCAAAATCACCCCCATCCACCCCCAGCTAGTGCCGACAACCAACCACCACTGTCGGCACTGCTGGAAGTCACGTAATGGCACACGACCAATAGGATATGACCGATCGTGTACCGATAAGGTTGTTTTTGGCCATGGATTTGTGATCCATGGTCACCATGGCCGAAAACGACCAGATCTGGTTATTTCTATGGTCGTTTCACAGCCAAAGATGTGGCCTTTTCACGGCCATAGAAACGACCTTATCGACGCACAATTGGCCAAATCCTACTGGTCTTGCGCCATTACGACAACTACCACCGGCAGTGGTCTTGGGTAGCTAGGGGTATTTGTTAACTTTTAAACTTTTTGTGGCTAGGGTGTTTTAGCTAAATTCTCAAATGTAGGGGGTCTAGCTAATGGTTATTTAGTAGACATTTGAGAGCAATTATGTCCGAAATGGTATTTAATTAAGGGCAAAATATGTATAAAAATCATATTACCTCGGTAATCTTTTAATATCACCTCCTTGGAGGGTATCTGATTACTCCATATATTACCAATTGTAAATATTATTTGCAACAAAAGATATCTATAATAATTGATTACTTGCAAATCAAATAACAGAATCTTGAAAATTAAACGAAGATTACCCCCGTAATCTTATATGAACCTAAACCAAACGGACCCTATGTGGTTATAGTAGTGGCAAAAATTCTGTTGTCATTAAGTTTTTGGCGTTAAAATAAATGATAGAGGGTAATATAGTAAATATGTATAACCCATCCTGTTATAAATTCTAATGATCAACTAACAGTATGGAAAAGAGTGCGTTTGGTTTATTATTTTGGATAGGATTTTGGGAATAATACTGGGTAGTTGAACAATGGAGTATTACAAGGTAAAATTTAAAAACTTATAAAAAAACCCTTAGGTTTGCTAATTTAATTAAACACCCCAACATATAAAATGACAAACACACCCCCACCACCCGCAGTGCCAGATTCCGGCCACTACCATCGAAATCTGGTTGGAAAATTGCGTTACGACACAGACTGGTCGGATCTATGTCATAACGTGTCGATATGACCTTTTCCGGCCAGATCTACGGCCAGATGTGGCCATCGATGGCCGAAAAAGGCCAAAGAAGTCCATTTTTAGCCGTCAGCAATGATCAAAGATATGGCCGTCGTTTTCGGTCAACGATAGCCATTTCTTTGGCCATCACTGACGGCCAGATAAGTGAACTATCAGCCAGTTCTGGTCGTGGTGTAGGCCATTTTACAGATTTCGGTTACCACCGACGGTGGTTGCCAGAATCTGGCAAGTATGAGTTGATGGGGGTATTTTTGTTCATTTTTAAACTTTTTTCTGGGGGTATTTATGAAATTAATAAACTTAAGGGGTCTAAAAGTAATTAAAAAATATAGCAATATTTCTGGAATAATGTGCCAAACAATATTTGGAGAATAGAATTGGGAATATGGGAAGAAATAGGGAGCCAAACGCACCCTTCGTTATTTCTGAGGGATCTTAGGGAAAATTTTGTTATTTGGTTATAAAGTTGGGCAAGGACCAGTCCCAAGCAGGCCCGGGCTTGGGTCCCAGGGCCATGAGCAATTTATTTTTCCCCTTGATCTTTTTTTATATTTTAGGGGCGAAACAATTTTGTAGGGGGTTTTTAGTATTTTTCATGGGTAGATTAGTAAGTTTCTAAAAGTTTAATTAATTTTTAAAAATAATAAAATAATAAATAAATTAATAGTTAATTTTAACATAAATGTAATATCCACATTTCATACATTCACGTTTCACAAATAAACAATTAAATAAATTTTTTTTATTAAATTATTCATCTTCATCGTCAACAATATTTACATCATTCAAATCTGTATTCCTAAAGAGTTCAAGTAGTTCGGGATCTTTAGGGTGCTGTTGTAGTCTTCTTTCTGCATAAGTCCAATCTCGTAAACACGTTATTACTTCAATCATCTCATCGGTTAAAGAACATCTTCTATCTTCAATAATCCGGCCACTTGTTGAAAATGTTGACTCGGATGCAATTGTATAAACCGACACAGATAAAATGTCACGTGTCATTTGGGTT